CAGAATCAAATATGATCGCAGACAATCAGGGGTCTTTACAACATTTTCCTCAGAGAATGCATAATTCAAACAATATTATTTTATGCAACTTAAACTCAGGATGGGTTGAGTTGATGCCCTTTCAGAAGATTCAGGATCAGAAAAGTTACTGCATATCTATGGAAAGACTGATTCAGAAATCCTCTATTAATCCCACAGCAGGTAAATATATAGTGTTAAGGTCCTTACACACCAAGCCGATTTTCGGCGTCGATAGATGTCGATAGATGTCGGGCCGTCGATGAGCGTTGTGTCGCCCTACTCAGATTGGTATGTCTTGGTGTGTACTGCACCGTTGTGTCTTTTCAGCCATGCCGACACCTTCCGCCGCCGATTCGACATGTTGAATCGGGAGGCTGTCGGTCAAAGGCCGTCGTCCAAATAAATCAGTCTGATTGGCTGTTCAGCTAGCGAATCAGTGCATGAGAAGCGAACGGAAGTGAGGGACCCAAACAAACTATTAAGAAGGCAAATCTGAGATTTCATTTAACTCCAGCTCCACGCTATTTGTTGTTTGTTTATATCACGCAGGTTGTTCTTCTTCTCTCGGTTATCACGCAGTCTGTCTTCCGGTTGTTGCCTCTTTTGAATGACGAATACACACTACCGACGTCTGCTGGTAAGGAGAGTTATTGCCACTCACGCATGCGCAGTTCGTACGTGCAACTTGGCCGTCGGCTGAATTCTTTGCGGTGTGTTCCAGTGCGAAACATGGCCAAGACGCATGAGACGTGAGGCGACGTGAGGCGACGTTCCGTCGGGACATGTTCTTTGGTGTTCTTTGGTGTGTAAGGACCTTTACAGCAAGTGGGAAAGTGCAGGTAAAAAGGCAAATGAGTAGACTATAATATTAAATGTATAGGCAAGCACCCACCTTTAGACTGGAGTTTAGTCAGACTAAATATCGCTTGCATGACAGTCTCCTCAAAAGTTGAACTGAACCTATAATATTTTGTAGGGCCCAGTGATCATGTGTTTTTCCATTGGCCTTCCTCAGCACCATGTTTCACTATTTCACTTTTTAAAACTATTTTTGTTTTCGGATTTACTTTTTACTATTTACTCGCACTATATGTTTCTGTTTTTCTGTAATATTGTGTTGCACTGTTGGAGAAGCCTGTGACCTAATATTTTCATTGACATAACTACTTTGTAGCTATGATTGTATGACTAATAAAGAAACTTGAACCTTGAACCTTGGAAGGATCATCATCATCATCATCTTCCCTGGCTAAATCTACAGTGCAGGAATTTAATTAAATACAGAGACAAACTATTAAAGCAGAGCTTGAAATCCGGACTATCTACTGACAGACAGAAATTCACTCATGCTCGTAACAAGGTCACTCAAACAATAAGACCGGCCAAAGCAAACTTTTTCATCAATATAACTGAAGGTGCGAAAGGTAACAGTTTAAAACGTTTGGCAAATCCTAAATAAACTATTAGGTAAACATAAGAAACAGGAAAATAATGCTCTAGAATAAAAAATCAATGATGCCCTGATAAAAGACCCTGCAGTGTTGGCCAGCTCTCTAAATGAGTATTTTATAAATTGTGCTTTGGATATTACAAAGCTCTTCCCGCCATCTGAGGTCTCACCTATCCCGACTGTGGATACACGCCCCGTTTTTGAGCTGGAGGAAATCACAGAGGTGGAGGTAAAAAATATAATCTTAGGATTAAAAGGTTCTAAGGCTAGGGATGCAGATGATTTAGACACCAACTGTATAAAGACAAATATTGACGGTCTAATAAAACCAATTATGCTAGTAAATCAATCTATCAGCACGAGGGAAGTTCCATCATCCTGGAAGGTGGCTACGGTGACACAGATTTTTAAATCTGGGGATAAGGCAATGATGTCCAATTACAGACCAATCAGCATCCTCCCCTGTGTCCCTAAGATAGCTGAGAAAAGGGTGTCAAAACGAATCACCAAACATTTAGACAAAGGTTTTGGACCACTCCACCCAATGCAGTCTGCTTTTTGTGCTCACCACTCCACTGAGACCTGTGTCTTTGTGGAAAAGGTTAAATGTATGTTGGACACGAGCCCATATGTAGGTGCTGCCTTCCTTGATCTCAGGAGGGCTTTTGACACTGTTGACCACCAAGTGCTCCTTACAAAGCTGACGTATTTATTTAGATTCTATACAGTGGGTTGAGTCTTACTTATCGAACAGAAAACAGTGTGTTTTGGTCAACGGTACCAAATCCCCCTACCTTGTCAACGCTGTTGGGGTTCCACAAGGTTCCATTCTTGGACCATTACTGTTTTCTCTGTACATAAATGACTTGCCTAATGTATGTCCTGATTTGAATGTACAAATGTATGCCGATGATGCGGTAATCTTTGTACACGGGAGAAATACTGAAATAATTACATCCTGTCTCTCAACTGCATTGGACAAGGTCCAACACTGGCTGAACAACATTTGCTTCCAGTTAAATGCAAAAAAAAACAGTATGCATAATGTTCAGTAAACAACCAGTCAAAATCAAAGGATCCAATGTGTTTTTAAACGGAGCAGAATTAGAACTAGTCCCCCACTTCAAGTATCTTGGAGTCATAATGGACTCGAATTTGACTTTTAAGAAACATATTAAGAAAGTATCCAATACTATTGAATTCAACTTGCAACATGTTAAACAAATGAGACCCTTCTTAACTGTCAATGCTGCAAAGTCATACCTCCACTGTATGATTATATCCCACATTGAATACTGGTCGTTTGCTTGAGACACAAACCTGAAACAAATAGAACAGCTGTACAAGAGAGCTATCAAGGTGTTTGACAGAAAGCCAAATTCATACCACCACTGTACCATCCTTGAAAAACACAATTTCTTGAGTCTTTTAAAAGTATGTGTTTTATTTATAAATGTTTACATGGACTGCCCCCCCCCCTAGGGGAATTCATCCACAAAAAAAGACACTGGACGCTGCACTAGGTCAGTGTATGCTGCTCTTGCCCTTTTGCACTTTTGCATTTCATGTATTTTGTTTTTGCTATGTTTGTAAAATGTAATCTTCTTAAATGTTTTATGTGAGGGAAATTAGTTCAAAGCTAAATCTCGCACTGTTACGCTTGACACATTTGAATGTTTAAAGTGTTCATTATTGTGCATTGTCCCTGCCAAATAAACGATTAAATTACTATAATTTACAGGTTTAATCGCTAAGAAAAGAGGTTGCATTGTGTCTTGTTTTCTTAAAGAGACACATGTTGTGAAGCAGAGGAATTAGACCATCATTTAACTACAAGAACCTTAACATATGCACCACTTGGAGGGTTGAAATAATAAATCAAAGGCAGCAAATGAATCATAAGCCAAGTCAAACACATGCAACATACTGTATGCTCTTGTGAACAGAAGACCTAAACACACTGAAAAAGCACTTATTTTTAATTGTGTTTTTTATATACACAGTGGATATTCATTGCTTGCCAGTTTCATTTGACATTTAATATTTTTGTTTCACAAATTGAAAAAGAAGGTAGCCCTTATCATTGTTATGTTTGCTTCGATTCTAATGAGGTGTAGTGATGTTTCTATTCAGTATGTTCATGTAAAGTGACTGGGTCAGCTAACATGGATCAAAGAGAGGTATCATGTCGTTAGGTTCCCATAACCACTTGCTCAAAACCGCTGACTGTTGCCATGGCAACGGTACATTTTGATGTTAGACCTCCTACAGTTGATCATGGTATTTTATTGCTGTAGCTGGATAGTGCTCTCAGTCACACTTGCAAAAGCACTTAGTAATGTTGCACAGAAACGGGAGGGAATGACAAAATCGTGCAGACATCATCCCCTGCCTCTTATCACGTCCAACTTTAAAACTTATGCATACGGGAAATGCATTTTTTTTGTCGTAAAAAACAAAAGTGAAAGGATGGATACACAACCCACATGCTCCACTAATGTCAACACTGTATTAATGATTGAATTCTATACCCACACTTTAAAAAAGGCCTATTGTATTTTATGATTTCTTGTAATTTATTATTATTTAATTTATATTTGTTTACAGATTTGTCCTCTATCAGTGTTCCTATTAAAATTAAACAGTGACATGTGGTGCATGGATAATTCAGAATATAATCTTTTCGTACATTTAATATCAACATGGCCCCACAAACTCTCTCTTCTCCAGCTAGGTCTTATGGAATATGCATTTAAACAGCCTGTACCAGGGAGCAGGTTATTCCGAATGTTTTATTCATTCTTTATAGCTTATTCAAAACTGAAATTCAGTTTTAATTTGAGGAGGTCTGAACACGGAGTGTGTCAAGCATTCTTTGATCAGGTCAAAGCCAGTAAAGAATAAGCTAGTCCTTTCTATTGGTCATTTGAACATATGTTTAAAGCATTGTCAGGCCCGCCCTATCCTTATGAAAAGATGGGGAGGTGAAAGGAAACGAGTGGCGAATGGAGGTGTTAGAGAAAGAACAGGGAGGTAGGTATTCATGATGTTCAGTAAACGACCAGTCAAAATCGAAGGATCCAATGTGTTTTTAAACGGAGCAGAAATAGAACTAGTCCCCCACTTCAATTATCTTGGAGTCATAATGGACTCGAACTTGACTTTTAAGAAACATATTAAGAATGTATCCAATACTATTATTCAACTTGCAACATTTTAAACAAATTAGACCTTTCAAAACTGTCAATATGGCAAAATCACTGTATGATTCTATCCCACATTGAATACTGATTTACAAACTGGTCGTTTGCTTGAGCCACAAACCTGAAACAAATAGAACAGTTGTACAAGAGAGCTATCAAGGTGTTTGACAGAAAGCCAAATTCATACCACCACTGTGCCATTCTTGAAACACACAATTTCTTGAGTTTTGACCATTTTAAGTCTTTTAAAAGTATGTGTTTTATTTATAATTGTTTACATTGATTTAAATGTCCATACCAAACACTGAAACCTTTATTATTATCAACTTTTATTTATCTTCTCATCCAAGCAAGAAAGTTGCGTTTCCAAAAGTTAAAATATTCCTGACAGTACATGTCACCAACAAGACCACCTTTAAAATGACAAAATAAAACATGTTTTTTACAACATATCATGCTGTATGATTATTCTATGGAAGTACAGATGCAGCAAAAGTATAAACTTAAATACAATTCAATCATAAAACACAAATAGCCTAAAATAAAAAATACGGATGTCCAAAGTCCCCCTAATTGTTTTACTTAATTGACAAAATGGAAACAATTTATAGCAAATTATTACCTATGTTTGGTCATTTGCATATTTACTCTCACATGTCTATGAGTTTGATGGTACTGTATATGTTTTTGTACAATATTATAATACTATTTTGCATACATATATATATAATTTGCAAAATAACAATTATAATGATTAAAGAAATAATTGATTGTAAATATTAGATGACTGCCGGATACAAACATTAATTATCAACCCTTGTTCAGATGGATTAACAATAACTCTGCCATGCATATGTTACCTGCCGAGTTAATACATACTATGCATTGAATACATTTCAGAGAATAACTAGTATAAAGTCATTGAAATGAAAAGTTTGAGTAAGATACTGACACTGTTCAAATTGCCCCACTGTTATGAAGGCTATGATACTCAAAAATAAGATCCAAAAAGCATCAGCCTTTGGGGCATCAGCTCATTCGAAGATGTTTCTGCCACCAGAGGAGGACAGAGAGCTGCTGTGACGAGCAGCTGCCTGTTAAAACATATAAACACAATACACGTTTTAGGGAAAACTACTCACAAATACTTTGTTTAAATGTTAGTTTGAACCCACTTACCCCTGTCTGTCCTTTGGAGAAGTTGGCATGTGCATAAAGGAGCACTGCTATGTCATGATGTCCTGCCTCCAGGGCAATGGACAGGGCTGTGCTGTCATCCTGTAAAAACACAAACACAATACATGTATATTGCTCATTGATGGCTTTAATGTACAATCTATTCATTTTGCAGCCCTATTATTTGGTAATACAGATGAGCTACATTCTTACCAGCTCTAGTCATTTCATCACATTTCATTTAACTCAAAGCGACCTACAGGCCTACCATCACAAATCTTGGGATAAAGATGGACCCTGAACTCGAGCTGGACAGCCAGATCAAGGCAGTAGTTAGAAACAGCTTCTTCCACCTCAGGCAGCTAGCCAAAATAAAGCCTTTTTGAAACGGTAACCTTTTTTGGAAAACAGTAATCCATGCCTTCCGTCACCTCCCGCTTGGATTATTGAAATGCAATATACTGTATATTGGGATAAGTGCGTCCTGCAACCGCAGCAGCAAGGCTACTAACTGGCACACGCAAACACGAGCACATTCCCCCATTTTAGCTGGCTGCCCGTTCTTTCGAGGATTCAGTTTAAAACTCTTTTATTTACTTTGGCCTGGCCCTGCCCTACCTCTCTGAGCTGTTACACAGCTACACGCTCACCCGCACTCTTAGGTCAGACTCTCAGGTCAGCTGATCAGTTGCTCCTGAGGGTGCCAACAACTAAGTCTAAACGCAGAGGGGACCGTGCTTTCTCTACTGCCGCCCCTAAACTGTGGAACGACCTGCCCTTGCTAATCAGACAGGCTCCCACACTGTCTGTTTTTAAGTCCCGTCTTAAAACACCTCTTCTCCTTTAGCATTCGGAACCCCAAAGGTAGTATTGTTGCTTCTTATTTGCTTTCAGTGG